TGCAGCAGGCATTGATATTAGAAGACTGTGACTGCTAACCTGAGGAATTTAGGCTTGGCTGAACGATAGCCGGCTGAGTGACAGCTAGGAAGGAATTAGTTCAAAATTTAAACATTTTGATGACAAAATAGTTATTAGGTAAAGTCAATGCCTGCAAAATTTTTTTGTTGTTAAACTGTGAATCACTTAATGGCAGATACTTTTCAGTCTCACTGTGAATCAGCTGGTCTTGTCTCAGCCTTCGTGACTGTTGAAGGCTGTTTTGCTAATTAAAGATCTCACATTAACTCTAGGCACTGGTTTTCCCCTGCCCTGTTAATGTCCGAGCAGCTGGGCCAGCACTCTCTGCAGGCTGTTGTGACATCTTGAACAGCTTCCTGATGAGGCATTGCTCTTGCTGGGATGTTGGCTATTTGAAAAACCATACAACTTTGAAAAACGCTAGAACAAATCAGCAGAAGATCCATAGGAATCAACCACTGCAATCAATGTTAAAAATGCTATAAGTAGGGCCTCCCCGGTGGCGCAGTGGTTGAGCGCTGGGTTGCGAAGCTGCCCGCAGCCTCTGCAGCGCCGGTTCGATCCCCGGCTGCTCCCTGGCCACCGGAGGAGGGTCCCACATGGCGCGCAGACCTCTCCTGCCGCCCGCTGCTCCCCTCAGCAGTGTACTTCGGTCCTTCTGCCTGCTCTGCTCCCCGCTCTGGCTCTGGTGAATTCTCTCACCCTCCCGCGCTTCTGACTGTACCCAGTGCATGTATAAACAAAACAAAAAAAAAACAAACAAACAAATAAATAAAAATGCTATAAGTAAAACTTGAAAAAGTTGCACATCAGATAACTCTCTGCAGTTCAACTTGGAACTAGAGTTTTACAGTGAGGAAGTAGCAAATTGTATCATTGAAACAAGGTGATACAAGGACCATGGCCAGAAGACTAGTCCATACAGCTCTTGCACTAATAAAACTTTCCTAACTGAGTCTCTAGATTCTACAAGTTAGCAATAAATAAATAAATCCCAGAGATCAGAAGTGGCATCTTCAGAATACAGATAAAGGAAGGCTAAGAGCAGCTTAGCCTGTCTTAATAACTTCTCCCAAGATGTCCCTTGATTGTCCTATGCTGTCATCATTAACAACTCTGGGTTAGTTCTGAAGTCAGCCTGTATGGCCTTGGATGAGTAATTCAACCTCTTTGAAAACTGTACCTTTCATGTAGTGTTAATTGTGAGCATAAAATGACATGATGTCTTAGGTTTGCTTCAAAATAAAACAGGAAAGGAGAGACAGCTTATATATGAATCAAGATTGGTGAAGATGAGATACCTAGGGGCTCATTACACTGTTCAGTCTACTTTCATCTGAAATATGTTTTAAGCTTTTTATAATTAAAGCTTTTTTAAAAAGATGAAATCATACAGTCGAAATCATGTGATGTTTCCTCCTTATTTAACTGTCCACTTACATGGGTAATACTGAGAAACAAAACAAGCAGACAAAATTAGACCAAAGCAACCCTGGAGATCTGACTATAGTATTGAGGCTACCTGAGGGGAAAGGTTGAAAGTAGGAAGCAAAGCGGGGAGAGGGCCCAGTAGACTGTGGTGGAGAATTGTGGGTGCTTTATTGGTGGGTGTGATGTGGTGACATATAGCTGATGAGTTGTGAACCTGTTAATCCTAAACCTTATACTGTGTTGTAAACTATTATCTCCATAAAAACAATATAACTTTTTTTTTAAGATTATTTATTTATACAAGCACAGGGTACAGTCTGAAGTGGGAGGGTGAGAGAATTCACCAGAGCCAGAGTCGGGAGCAGAGCAGGCAGACCGATGAAGTACACTGCTAAGGGGAGCAGCGGGCAGCAGGAGAGGTCTGCGCGCCATGTGGGACACTTGCCCAGTGGCCGGGGATCGAACTGGTGCTGCAGAGGCTGCGGGGCAGCTTCGCAACCCAGCGCTCAACCACTGCACCACCGGGGAGGCCCAAAACAATATAACTTTTTTAAAAAGAATAAGATAAATAAAATAATGGCATATAGTCAGTAAGTACTTTAAATACTTTAAACACATTCATTGTTTTCTTTGAGGAGGAAAGAACTTGTTGTTTTTTTCTCTCTAATTTTCCATCAATATTAGTGTTGCTTTAACCAGATCACTATTCTCTTGTCTGCATGTGCTTTGCAAATTAAATAACTCAATTAGCATTAAAAAAAGAGATGAAATTAGTAAATATTTGCCTGTAAAGAACAGTATAAGTGAAAGGATTAAGAGGTCAAGATAAATTTTGCTTTTAGATAACCATACACTGTGCTTTTAGTATATATAGCACTTTGCTTGGGGCAAGGCTAATCTTCAAGAATAAATGAGTTGTTCTATGGCACATATCAAAAAAACAAGCAACAACAAATGTTGGTGAGGATGCGGTGAAAAAGGAGCTCTCCTGTATTGCTGGTGGGAGTGCAAACTGGTCCAACCACTGTGGAAAGCTGTCTGGAGGTTCCTCAATCTACTAAAAATGGAGCTACCATACGATCCAGCAATTCCACTACTAGGGATCTACCCAAAGGACCCCAAAACAGTGATTCAAAAGAGCACCTGTACACCTATATTTATTGCAGCACTATTTACAATAGGTAAAACCTGGAAACAACCCAAATGCCCAAAAATAGATGACTGGATCAAGAAGATGCGGTATATATACACAATGGAATATTATTCAGCAATCAAAAAAGATAAACTCATGCCATTTGCAGCAATGTGGATGGAGCTAGAAGGAATTATGCTCAGTGAAATAAGCTAGAAGGAAAAAGAAAAATATCAGATGGTTTCACTTATAACAGGAATATAGGGGAACCAAATAAGACATCAGTGTAAAAAAAATAATAATTACAGTACAAACCACAACAAAGCAATAACAGACAATTATAAACCAGAGACATCCTGCAGGGGAGGAGGGAGAGGGGTGAGAGGGAGGGAGGGAGGAGCACAGGGGACTGTGGTGATGGTGCATGGTGCCTTGGGGAAGGAAATTCTATGGGGACTCAATCTGAGGAGGAAGGGGGAAGCAAATATTGTCTTAAAAAGTGTAAAAAATGATAAATGTTAAAATCACAAAAAAAAATATTCTAAAGTAATTATTTTTTCTCCAGGATCATAGTTTGAAGATGTGTACATGTATTCATCTTAGAGTCTACTTAAGAAAAAATGAAAGAAACAAATTTAACCTTTTGGATCTTAAAAGACAATTACTATACTACAGAGTCTGTGTAAAAATGTTTATGTTTACGGGTAGATGTGATTATTATATTATTTCTTCTTCAGATATTTTCAGGATTTACATTACTTGGAAGATATTTGGACTTCATTGTGATTTTTCTTTGTCCTAGATTTTAATTTATTCTGGTGTATTTCATTAAAATGCTCTTTCCAACTTGAAAGACTGCTACATTGCTTTACTTTAGTTTATAAGAGCAAATGCTTTAAATCATCATAAAAGGCAAAATATTTAACCATGCTGGAAAAATTTTCAAATCAGTTTATGAAATGTTTGCAATTCAAATTACATATTGTAAGGAATTTAATCCCACTGAAATTTAACTAGTAGTTTAGAAATAGGATTGTCCCTTACTGATTAGACATTAGGATAATTAGGCTTGCTTTCAAGATCTGTGCACACAGTTTAGAAAGTGATTTGAGCACAATAAATCAAATGTTGATATATTTCAAAATGTGACAGTCCTTAGAGCAGATATTAAGAATTTAAGTTGGAATCTTTAAGGTGGGGAACACATAAGCTGGGGTGTAAAAAAGACATCTCCACAGGGTTTGAAGCCACTTTGGTTTACATAGATGACTTTCACCTTCTTAACTCCCTAATTCTCCTTTTCCACCTCTCCTATAATATTAGTCATTCTCCCTAGTAGTAGTGAAAGACCTTACTCTCAACCATGTAGCACTAGGATGAAAAACCTAAAGAGGGAAAGGGAGAGCAAACTGAAAAGTTCAAAATAGTGCTGTCATGTTAAGAACTGCTTAACTTTAATGACTGGGTAACTCATTCTTCTGCAGATTGAATGGTTCTAAATTCATTGCTCCCAACAAAATGAAGGATCTAATGAAGTTGTCAAGTGATAGATAATTAAAAAAAAAACTCTTTGAAAGATTATTAAGTGATTTTTGATATGTAATTCAGAAGGACATCAGAAAATGGTGGCGCTGCTTTAACAAAAGTACATCTACTTATTTATGGGGAGAAGTTTTCTCCATCATACATAAAAACAACAGTTGGGACATTTTGGATGCTGAATTTTGCCTCATTCTAGCAATAAGTAATGTTCATTAGAAGATACATGGACTAATTGTGAAAAAATGAGAAAATTAAAATGTTATACTTGCTTAATAATCATAAAAAGTTTGCTATTTTAATCAACTGTGTTTGAATAATTATAATCCTAATCTGGAGATTATTTTTGAAACTTCAGAGGCTTATTTTCTCATGAAATATTTAAGTCTTAAATTTATGTATTTTCATGGGCAGAGAAATATGATGTGATTATCAGTAACACTCAAGTATAAAACGTATTGTGTTAAAATAATAATATGGGTGGGGGAAAGTGAAATGGAAATAGAAATACAAGAGGAAAAAGGACTAATGTAAAATTCCTACTTCAAATTCCTGTTTTAAAACTTGGTATATTTTTTTAATGCTGGTTAGCTGTTTATAATATTTAGATTCAATTGGATATTCAAAAAAGTAGTACAACTATTGTATTTTTATATGTTAGTATTCTAATATGTGGAGGATTACATACTTTGCAACTACTTAAACTTATGAAAACTTTAGCTCTGTAGTTAAAAATATGAAATTACCTTATGAGCTATGTGAGTGTTTGGAGTTCATTGGTACATGGATTGTTGGATGCCACATTGAATCTTGAGAAATACTGCATTTGTAGAATTTCCCATCAAATTTAATTGAAAGTATCAACTGTGTTCTGCAGGATGGTTTGACGCCGCTGCACTGTGGGGCAAGGAGTGGCCATGAGCAGGTGGTGGAGATGCTGCTTGATCGAGCTGCCCCCATTCTTTCAAAAACCAAGGTAATTTCTTCCCAGGTTTTTGGACATCAGACCATATTTAGTTTTGCATCCTTTTACTGGTTATTTAATCCAGTCTTTTGGACCACATGGAATATGACATTGTTCTATTTTTTAAGATAATATGAATTTTTTAATGTGTCATTGGTTTCTATCCTCTATGGGTATCTATGTGAGTATAGCTTCACACCTTAGTACATGTATATGCCATACTGCACCCACCAACAAAGTTCTATCACTATTCACCACTATCAAATTTACCCGTTTCTCATTCTTTCCAACCCTCTTCCTAAAGCACGCCCATGAGTATATCAGATTTCAGCAAAAACTCCACACGTCAAGAGATAGTGGAATGACATGTTCAGAATGCGAAAAGATAAAAATTCAAGAATACTCTACCCTGAAAAAATAACACCTAAATATGACTGAGAATTAAAGGCTTTCCCAGACAAGCAAAAGCTAATAGACCAAGGGGCCTCCCTGGTGGCGCAAGGGGTTAAGCGTCAGCACTATTAAGTTATCCACAGCCACTGCAGCACGAGTTCAATCCCCAGCCAGGGAGGTCACCCACATGGTGCAGTAGACCTCTTCTGACTTGCCCCTCCCTCTCAGCAGTGTATTTCGGTCAGTCTGCTTGTTCTGCTCCCCACTCTGTATCTGGTGAATCTTCTCACCCCCCGCACCTCTGGCCTGTACCCCAGCTCCTGAATGCATAAATAAATAATTCTTAAAAAAAAAAAAAGCTAATAGTCCACCACCAGACCTGCGTTAAAAAATGTTCAAAATAACTCTTCTACATGAACAATAAGAACAAAAGTACCGAAAACCTTGAGTGAGGTGTTAAATAGAAAAATGAATCAGAAGCTTAAAAAGGAGTAACATAGAACAACAAAAAGCATTAAAAGAAAGAAAAGGATAGAATTTGTAAGATAAATGACAATATTGTTTTAACTTAGCAATTAAAGAAGAAACATCACTCAAATCATTGGAGAACCTAAAAATAAGTGTGGGTTTATTAAGCCCTGAGGTGGAGTGCACTGTTCCATACACTGTTTTTGTGTGTTGCTTTTGTTTAGTTTTTGTATTGTTTCAGGAGTGCTTAGTGCTTGATTTTACTCTATGAAATTTTCATAGCTCAGAAACGATTACTTGTTAGGGAAAGAAAGATTATAAGCTCTGGACTCTCTAAAGTTTGGGCTGTGGCTCTCTTTCTCCAGCCCCTGGTTTATTTCTTGAGTGTTCACAAACTGTCAGAGGCCAAGGCTGTCATTTAGCTGACAAGACTTGAAACTTTGCAAACACTATACCTTAATTAGACCATTGGGAAAGCTGGCATATCTGAAAGGAATATGTAATGATTGCCTGAAAAGATGTAATGTTTACTAAGTATCTTCTGGATATTTTTATAAATGATAAAACCACTTGACATTATTTGCAAAAGAAAAAACATGTAAATTAACTTTCGGACATAGGAACTGTCCTGTATTCACTACTATTTGTATTAACCAAATCAGTGATTTTTGGAAGCTATATTAAGCTTTATAAATAACCTTAATTTCTAATATTTGTCAAAACAATTGAAGCACATATTATGTTTTCATTCTGGTAGTATTTTTTCAACAATTCTAGTGAAGATGCCAAGGGTCTGAATGTTTTAATCACTCATTTGAAAGACCAATCATTTAGATTGGCCAGATGTGTAAGGCATTAACCAATGTAATTAAATGGCCACCTTTTTTTTTTTTTTTTACTGTGTCATCTTGGCTTTTTGAATACTTCTTATCTAAACTAGTCTATTCTTTTTCACATAGTCCATATCTATCTTTCCCACACCCCATTTTTGTCTTCTGAGCCACATCAACTCTCCCTGAGCTATTACAATAAATTCCTTACTGCTCCCCCAATTCCTCCATTGCTCCTTTGTAATCCAGTTCCTGTTTTTCAAAGTAGCCGCATAAACTGTTACCAAATTATGTCAATCTAGTGTCTAAAAACCCTCCAATTAATTCCCATTGTTCTCTTTAAAATTAATTTTCATTTTATCAAAGCAATGCAAGTATAGTTAAAAAATCAAATTGCTGTCTCACTTTTTCTTATTTATCTTATAATCTATTTATTTTTTCTCAGAAATCTTGATTTTTTTTCTTCTATGCTTTCATCATTCAAGAGCATTTTCTTCTTCTCTAATAGTTTCTTAAAACATTCAGTTCTCATTTTATGAAAGCCGTATTTTCTGTTGCCTTTCTGAAAACAAACAAGGTAACCTAAATGTAATTTTTTCTGCCCTCATACGTCCCTAATTCCTCAGATTTTTCTTTTTTCTGTGTGTTGGCTTTGATCTCCCTCATTGTGGGTATTTCCCAAAATATCTGTAACTGCCCATGGGTCAGGCACTAACATTACAAAGGAGGCTCAGTGGGAATGCAGTCAGATTTCCCTCAGGTATGTTAGTGGTGGGTAAGAGGGGGACCACTAATGTCAGAATTAGTTGTGCTTTTTTCTAGGAAGTTCAGTTTTTTAAGAAACAAATAGCCCAACTTTTTGCCTTGTATGCCTGTGTGGTACGTTGAAAGTAAAGTAAGGAGAAGGGGCTGTCAGTCCCCCTGTCCTTTGTGCTTCCTTTAATCATCATTATGACAGCACTACTCACTACTACTCAAAGTCAGCACCACATACTAGCCTTAATCACTTTATATGTATTAAACATTTAATCCTCACAATAATTCTGTGAAGTACTACAATAGATGAGGAAACTGAGACTCAAAGTTGTTACACAAGATATCTCAGCTGGTGTCAGAACAAGGATTTGAACCCAGGCAGTCTGACTCTAGAGACCTATCCTGCCCTGTGTGAGCAAATGCTCTCAGTCCAGAGCTTCACCACTATGTTCTTTTTGTGTTCCTGTGTCCAGAATCCTCCAGGGTCAATTTTTCTAGAAACTTAGCTCCTGCTTTTCTGCAGGATGAAGGGGTAAGTCATCTGACTTCAGGGGTAAGTCATCTGACTTCAGGGCTTGAGACCTGATAGCTCCATATGCAAGCGAACCAGTCCTACTTTCAGCCCCAAGTCTCATGTTTACCTTCCAAGGTACTATTTTTCCATATACCCTGCCTTTTTGGGAATTTGAGAGGTAGATCAGTTGTCTTTATTATATCCAGTGGTATGCTGGAACCAGATCATAGAGTCTATGGAGTGATATCTTCTAAGTTCCACATTTAGTCATCTCCTTCTGGTAGCTTGAAATTACTGATAGTAGAAGTCATTACACCATGGAAATTGGCAAAAACTATAGTTCAGGACTTTTCTTTTTCAAAGACCTGTTGTTAAAGTTATCAGCACACCAGTTGGTAATATGCCTCCACACATTCTTAGTTTTCAGCCTTGTCTTCTGTTAGATGAATTACCAAATTAAATCCTCTCTTCATATTCCAGAATTTGTCGATCACACATATTTTTTGTTAAAGATTTATTTATTTATACAAGAACTGGGGTACAGGTCAGAGGCATGGGGAGGGTGAGAGAATTCACCAGAGAGAGCAGGTTGCAGAACAGGCAGATGGATGGAAGACACTGCTGAGGGGAGCAGCGGGCAAGGCAGGAGAGGTCTGCCACACCATGTGGGTTTCTCCCTGGCCAGCCGGGAATCGAACCAGTGCTACAGAGGCTGTGGACAGCTTCACAGTGCAGCACTCAACCTGTTGCACCACAGGGGAGGCGCTCACACATATTTTTGTTTCCTTTCCCACCACGTATAAGGTGTATATATGTACACACACATGCATGCTCTTGTGGAGTTTACCTGTTAAATTCCTCTATGCCTTTTTAGTGGCATTTTGGGAAAAGATAAACATATACAACATCTATCATGTTTATCTGGAAGTATTCCTCTGCACTGATAACAAACCCCTTAACAGAATCTGACTACTTCTCTACTTCATTTCCCAATTTTCCTTAACATCCAGCCGAGAAGATTTTGCTCACTTCCTGGAATACACCAATTATGTTCCCATTTCTTGATTCCTCAGCTTGACCCAGATCTTTGTAGTCTTCACACATTTCTGAATTCAAATTGCTTCTCAGTGTCCTTCTTAAAATGTTTACTTGTTTGGCTATCTTGTAAAATGGAAGCTAGAACTTTGCCTTTTTCAGTGTAGTTACCCCAAGCACTTCGCTGCTTGGGAGTACCAGTCAGTACCTGGCACATAGTATTCCAGCCATAAATATTTGTTGAGTGAATACCAAAAGAATTCCTGACTTTAAGAGCATTTGTCCAGTTCAAGACTCTCATATTTTTGAGCTAAGAAAACTCATTTCATTGGGTCTATATTTTTGTCTTGATGAAGGTGCCATATGAAATAAGTTTCCTCTCCACCAGGCAAGTGATCTTTTTGTTATTTTCTCACCCTCCTCAAATGACCTTTAAGTTTTCCACCGCTATATAATTGCTAGGAAATTTCCTTCTTTTATTGACACAGCCTCCTATTTCCACTCCCCACCAAGTCAGTTGTTCTCTCAGATTTTGTTTTTTTTGTTTACTTCATGTTTTCCTCTAAGACCATATAAAAATATAAAGCAAATGAACATTTTGGCAGGAAATAAGTGAGTGCATATGCTTGTGGGTGGCAGTGTCTCAAATGAGGAACGTTCCATTGTTTGTTGCACCTTAGTTTCTGCTTTGGCTCAAAATGGTTGAGCGGAATCCTTTAGGTAGAAATATCCTGATTGACTGACAGTGTAGGAAAACTTTAAATTTACATATTGATGGAAATCTTTCTACATACGCAACACTCTCTGGTGGGCAATCTGGGGAAATAACCATGAACTTCTTGCTTTCAAGGAACCAAATAATTGAAATACATAACAGTAAGTGAATGATACTATGATTGTGACAAAAGGATTGTGTCGTCTTGCATACCTGCTCTATGTCACTCATAAATTGAGGAATTAATTTGGCTCAAACTGTGTTCTTCGGTGCAAGTTAATATAACGGTACTTTCAAAATTCACTGATGAGAACTTTTTTTGGAAACTGGAATTGCTCTCTTTCCCTCCCTTGATAATCAGATTATCTATGAATTTCCCACACTCCTTACTTGTGCCTCTACATTTACAGGAAGCCATTTGAAAAGATGTCTTATTTTTGCCTTCATTGGGAAACACGTACTAAATGCTAAATATCTCTTTAACCCTCTTTAAGGTTTTGTTTACCTTTGAACCCATTTATTTCTTCTCTCAGCTCTTTAAATGAATTTTTGACTCATTCCTACTACACGTGATTAATTGTGACGTAGAATTAAAACTACTAACCAAGATAAGCATTAGTTAATAAGTTGGGCAGTGCCTTGCCATTCCTCTTATAGACACACGAGGGCACCAGACTGATGAAAAAGGGAAAAACTTCCTTTCTCCATTGATGTAAGATGAAATGTATTGTTGTAGTCTGACTTTTTTAATTAAATGAATGTAGTATTCAATATCAAATATTAGTAACTTATAAAGATAAAATAAAAAACAACCTAATAAACATCAATCTGTTCCTGCATTTTTTTTCTGTTTCAGTCTTTAATATTAAGAATTCCAATTTACTGGGAATGTAATAAATAGTAGCCTTACTGCATTTCACACTATTTTTAAATCAGACTAAAAAATTATCCTTGAAAATTTGTTTTTGATTGCTTTAAGAAGTGGGAGGACTAGTTTTAAAAGTAGATGCAGTTAAAAGCAGTTGTCAAAATCATTTAAAAATAGAAGCTATTTCTTCATGAAAACTGGCATTTTTACCTGTTCATATTTGCACCATATTTTGTGTTTGGCACATTTGTATTTAAAAGGCAAAGCAATAAACTCTGCGTTTCTTATGTATTCCAGAATGGACTGTCTCCTCTGCACATGGCCACACAAGGGGACCATTTAAATTGCGTCCAACTTCTCCTCCAGCATAACGTGCCGGTGGATGATGTCACCAATGACTACCTGACTGCCCTGCACGTGGCTGCCCACTGTGGCCACTACAAAGTTGCCAAGGTTCTCTTGGACAAGAAAGCTAATCCCAATGCCAAAGCTCTGGTGAGTGGCTCAGCCAACAAGTCTACCTTGCATTGTCCTGCTGCTGACAACGTACTACCTCTGCATGTGAAACAATCTTTAAAAATACCCTCTATAAAGGATCTTCCCTATTCCAATATGGACAAGGCTGAATTATTAACTTCTCCAAGGCCCCACTAGTGATCCTATTATATAAATGAAAACAAATGAAGACTGAGGTGGTCAACTCCTCCTTATTGTAGGTAAACTGATAATTCTGTGAATTAAAGTGTGGTGTTTTTCTTTCCTGAAACCTAAAGGTTTGAGGCATAATGATCAAAGGATTTTATCTTTAAAATGACAGGTCTAGGGATTTGTGAGCTTAAACTTTTAGTTACCAGTTTTTAGTTTTGATTGCTTTTGTGTGGAAAGATATTCTAAAGACTTCAGGAAGAATGCAATCACTGTGAACTTTTCCATGCCACATATTTTAACATCAAGATGGAAAAAAAGCCAGCATAGGACTGGGTGAGGTAAACACATCCCTTGCGCTTCTCATGCCAAACTATGTTTCTGGTTGTATTAGCTCGAAACTAAAGTCACAGTAATAATACCAAGTTCCCAAGTAAACTGAACTTTTTATGAAATTTTAATACCCTTGATCTATTATATTCTTCATGAATTGAAATTTTATGTTTTGATAACTATGTAAGTTAATGAAATATTGCCTGCGCTTTCCTTTTACTGTCATTACAAATCAAAATGTGGGTCTAGTTTGTAGTCTTGACTCCTAAAATTATTTGCTATTTTAACCCTTAGCTGTACTATAGTTTAGTTTTCTCAGCAAGATGATGTATGTTGTCTTTGGGGAGGAAAAAAATGGCCCTGTTTCAAAATGGCTGTTTAAATTTAGTTCAGAATAAGCACTCATGTTTAGGAAAAAATCAGTCACCAAATGTTAGGGAAAACATGTGACTTTACTAGCAATTTGGAGGTAAAGACTGTCATCAGATCAACCATTTTAGGAAGGGTCTCTGCTCCTTTTCAACTGGTGCAGTCACAATTTCTGAAAGGATTGTTAGTCCCTGGTGCTCTGCAGTCTTGAAAATTCAGAGTGGACAGGACAGAACAAGGAAAGGACTCTCCAGACCCAGGCAACTCCATTGCCATTTTTTTTTTTTTTTTTTTTTTTTTAATTTTTTTTTTTTTTTTTATTTATAGAGGCATGTTTTATTTATTTATTTGTTTGTTTGTTTGTTTTGTTTATACATGCACTGGGTACAGTCAGAAGCGCGGGAGGGTGAGAGAATTCACCAGAGCCAGAGCGGGGAGCAGCGGGCTGCAGGAGAGGTCTGCGCGCCATGTGGGACCCTCCTCCGGTGGCCGGGGAGCAGCTGGGGATCGAACCGGCGCTGCAGAGGCTGCGGGCAGCTTCGCAACCCAGCGCTCAACCGCTGCACCACCAGGGAGGCCCTCCATTGCCATTTTAATTCAAAAAGCCAGGTGTAGCATCAAGCACAGCACACCTGCCCTCTATATCAAATATATCTTTGAATTCTGAGAAGGGAGGAAAAGAAATCAGCATTCATGACTCATTTTTCCATACAAGAAAAGTAAGCCTTATAACTGGGTGTGGGTTCTTACTCTCACTTTCCTCTGACTCTAAAGATTTCACAACATATGGAAGTTACAGCCTGTCTGCCTGGGATGGACTCTGGCCAAGTGAATGGTCTCAGGAAACGCCATGGAAACAGTGATTTTGACCCCAGCTTCATGGTGGACTTTAAAGTGTATAGGAGTACAAATTTTACTCCTAAAACATGCATCCCTTCACATGCAGAGGTAGTTCTCTATGGCAACTGCAATATGCTTAATTATTAGGCAGTATAATTTGATAGGTAACTTGTTGAAAAAAGAAAACAGGTTCTTTTATAAGGTTAAATATTAAACCAGATGATCCAAATAATGTTGGGTCATTTAACTTTCTGTTTCTTTGGAGTAAGCACTTACTTGAATCTTAAGTTAGAAGGAGCGAAAAGATTTCTAGAATTGCTCTTGTATTTGCCCTAGAATGCATCAGGGAAGTTGAAATAGGCATTGGTGAAGATATGGCTGTGAAGAAAAATGTTTGTGTCTGTTTTTAGTCTGTGTTTGAAATGATATAGAGGAGGGACATATTATTTGGAAGAGAGGATTCCAAAATAAAATGAGGAAACACCTGATCATTTTCCCTTAGCTACCAGGAGGCTCTGACAAAAATCTACTTTCTATCCAGGATAAACAGGGCACCAGGGTTCTCAGGAACAGCTCTACTGCCTGTGCTTCCAGAAAACTATCTCCATTGTGCATAACCCCTCCTCACGTCCATTCATTTCCCAGTCCTTACAGAATACCACTTTAGCAAAGATATTTTACCATAATAGAAGCAGGCTTCAGTGGGATGTGGTGAAGTAGAGATGTGTCTTTGTCCCTTGCAGAATGGCTTTACCCCTCTTCACATTGCCTGCAAGAAGAATCGAATTAAAGTAATGGAACTCCTTCTGAAACACGGTGCATCCATCCAAGCTGTAACCGAGGTAAGAGGAAGATTATTTTTTGGGGGGAGGGGTCCTGAAATGCTGAGACTCAGCAATTGACACCCAGTGCCATCCCTGATGACCAGCTAATATGGCTGTGTGTGATGGCTAGGCCTTAGGAGAACAGAGAAGAGTTTGGGTGGTTGAGTGGAAACACATGGCCATGGCTAGGAGCATAACCAAAACACACACCACATATCATGACAAAGGTGAGTGGCACGACCACTGGAAGCATCATTTATATGAAATCCATTAATGCACTGCTGCTCAACTGGGGGCAGGTTTGCCCCCCAAGGAATGTGTGGCAATCTCCCAAGGTTTTTTTTGATTGTCACATTTAGATGGCGCTGCTGGTATGGAGTGGGTAAAGAACAGAGATGCTCTAAGAATTTTACCAAGTACAGATCAGCCTCCCAAGTACAGATCTGGTTCAAAATGTTTAATTTGCCAAGGTCGAGGAATCCTGCATAACACAACCTCTATGTGTTGGTGCAGTTGAGGATTGGTTTCTATAAAATCTCAGACTTCGTGAAACTCAGATTTGCTAAAGTAAGTAAAGGATAAGCCATAGGTCTCTTACAAACCAGCATAGAACTCACAGAAACAGTCTAAGAAACTTACAACACAGCACACCAAGCCTGGCGTCTACCCTTAGGCATTTATCCTCAGCCCCTCAGCCCAGCCCCTCCGCCACCGCACTAGTCTCTGGATTCTAGCCATCAGTGCTTCCCTAGACCAGATGCCCTTTTAGTCACCTCCACAGCTCAGTACCTTCCATGTGCCACACCCTCATTGCCAGGCTAATCCTGCACATCCTTCAGAACCAGGTCTGGTATCTTTTCTAAGGTACACCCCCCCCACCACCACCACCCTCTTGCGTGGACTAAGTGTTCCTTGGTCCTCCCAATTATTACCTCTTCAGTGTGTATTTCATCAGAGCGCTTGTCTGGCTCTCTTACTTACGACCCAGCAGCCTCCCTGCTCCCCAGAAACTTCAGGCTCCCTCAAGGCAGGGCTGGGTGTTGCTGACCCTTATATGGTCACAACAAAGTAGACCCCATTGTACATCATTCAGTAAAGCTTTTTGAATTAATCTGTGAAGACTGTAGGATTTGAAACAAACATAACAATTAAGATTTAGTGTGGTAATTGCTGCCTGGCCTCAGTTTCTTCACTGCAATTGAAATACTTGCCTGGGCTTGTAACATTCAATTTTTTTAAGTAATAAATGGTTGAACATATTAATACAAGTTTGCTCTTTTATTAATCATATGGCTTCATGGTAGGTACCCTGTTATTTTAATTATGAAATAATACTGATTCTCAATGGTGACATCCCTTTTTAAAAATCAGAATGGCCTCTGACATAAAAGTAGATATTTGCCTGATGTTTGAATAAGCCTCCAGAGGGGTCAGCCAGTTGTAAGGAGGTACTACTGCCAGTCCTGTGCTCCCTAAGAGCTTTAAAAAGCAGATCAGATCCAGAAGAGGATTTTGCCTTCATATATTCCAAAGACTCCCCTGCGGTTGAAAAAAAGGTGCCAAATTCTAACAGAATTCTCCTTTTCCCCATTTTCCTTAGTTCTCACTATTTGAAGTCTGGCTAAATAGATTTCTTCCTCTTCTTTCTTTACTTTACTTTTATCATAGAAAACTCCTTTCACATGCTTTTTGACATTTCTCAGACTTCTCTTGACATCAATTATCTCTTGCTTCTCTTTCTAAAAACATGTTAGCTTTTTAAGCCACATTAAATGTTTTTATCAAAAGATGATATTCATGTTGCAAAAAGTATTAAATTCTGAAAAATAAAAATGGAATTGCCTAATATAAAAAGCACAAATGTTATGGATGTGGGGGAGATTTTAAGTAAACCTAAAAAATTAAGGTCTATTCTTAGTGACCATTGTTGCCTTGGTTCTACTGTCTTAATTTAGAATACTCATAAAATTTAAAAATTAACTGAACTATTAATGCTGATTTGCTTATTTTTCAGAGGGATGGCATTGTGTTAACATCGTGTTCTTTAATATATATAATAGAGTTCTGAGTACATAGGAATCGTTTTTGGTTTTGTTTTTTAAGATTTTATTTATTTATGCATATAAGGACTGGGGTGTAGGCCAGAGGGGGGTGCTGGTGAGAGGATTCACCAGTGACAGAGTGGGGAGCAGAACAGGCAGATCTACTGAAATACACTGCTGAGGGGAGCAGTGGATGAGATAGGAGAGGTCTGCTGTGCCATGTGGGTTAGCTCCCTGGCCAGGCATCGCACTCAGGCTGCAGTGGTGATAGTGCTGAGGCTTAATCCCTACGCCACCAGGGAGGCCACAGGAATCATTTTTAAAAGCTGGAATAGAATCTGAAATAAAAGTTGATTTGTATATGTGATTATACTATCTTTCCTTGCCTCCACACAGTCATGAATGAATAAGAAAGGTTTGGTAGCAAAGGGGGAAAAAAAAATCAAAATTATTTCTAATTTGTTTTCATAGAAATGTATGAAATAAATCTTTTTCCTTTAATGCATATGACATAGGCCTATCATAATGATGGAACTTGCCTTAGGGAAATGATTGTGTACTGGCACATTTGCCTTATAGAGTCTATGACAGTGGTGAATGTCCTGATTATCTTGTAATCAGTTATGTTAAAATGGGTGGATGCTGGCAGATAGGAAGACAAAACCTCTTCGTGATAAGCCCGATTAGCTGACATTTCCCACTTTCCTCCCCAGTCGGGCCTTACCCCAATCCATGTTGCGGCCTTCATGGGGCATGTAAATATTGTATCACAACTAATGCATCATGGAGCCTCACCAAACACTACTAATGTGGTAAGTATTCATACAACAAGAAAGGACCACTTGTGAGTAATTAAGCAACTGACTGTTTTTATCTACTTATTATGATTAAATTAATTGCTATTTAACTTGACTACTTAAAAAAAAGGACAAAATTTGAGAATATCTGTGGTTTCCATTACTTCTAAGAATGTTCATTTAATAGCTAATTGGTCACAAATTATTAGGATTTACAGATTTCACCCATTAAGCTTATAGGTGGATGACTACTAGCCATATGCTTTGAAAAATGTGGACGAGGTGAGCTTATGTTAGAATATAATCATTAAGAAGTATTATTTGTTGAGGCAATGGTTCAAATGCCATCATTACTATAATTTTAAGTAACTTCAAAGTAATTTTCCTTCCGTGTGTTGGACCGTGTCATGCAAACCCACGGGACTCAGCTCATAGGTCATCCATGCGATTTCCCCACATCGCTCTGCAGAGCCCTGAGACTCTCTGAGTAAATAACAGAGGAGTAACTTCTCACCCTCGCTCTGCATGTGGCATTTGACATTGTTTTACAAGACTTTAAATTTGACATCATAACAATATTAGACACCAGACCACAAACATAAAACACTAGTTGGTCTCATTAGCACCAAAGAAGTAAAAATAAAACAAGCAACATCCTGGCACAGAAAGGACAAGTCATGAGGTCCTGCGCAGACCTAAGGGTGGACCTCAACTAAGACTGTCTTCTTGTGTTCCAAATCAGCACATCACAGGGTAGAAACAACTGAAATGCAATCTTTCCTCGTACTAAGGCCAGGGAAAAAATGTCTCCTCCGCTAAGAGAACACTCTGTATATGGTGAACTGTATCCTCGATGCCTTTCCTAAACACTGAGTTTAATGTGAAATGAGACTTTGTATGTTGTACCTTGGAGATGGGTGTCTTATAAAGCAAAGTTCAGTTAACAAAAGCAATTTAAAGGTGACCATCACTTGTGGGAGAGAATATATTAGATTCGTAGCCCTTTTTCATTTTGATCTATTCATGTTTTCTATATTGTTTGAATTTTTTTATTAAGCAAATGAACAGATAATCTGAAAGTTTCTTTGTTACAAAAGAGGGATTTGTAGAGGAGTCCAGTGGCAAAGAAAACATCCCTATCCCCTAGGGATAATGCCCAAACACTAGGACACGGGTCTGTTGGTGATAAAGCAGAGAACACAACAGCAGACAAGCTGAGTCTAGCCTCAGGAGTGCATTCTGGTTTATGTTTTAACTCTGATTTTGTGGTCCGTATTATGCCCAAAGAATTATACAAATACGCAAACTGCCACTGTTTTTGAAATTAAGGTGTGGTGTGACCCAGCTGGTGTCCTGTACAATTCCTGCAGCGTGTGCAGTGCCAGGAGCAGCTGCCTCCTTGGGGCAGGGCGTGGCCTGGCTCCTCACACACTCCCCACCTGCCCAGTTTCACTCTTTTGCCCTCTTGCTCAGCTCCTGAGCACATTCACCTTTCATCTTCCATGAGGCTACCTGGGAGGTAATTGAGCAACATTTCTGACATCACAGCTGACTAGGCTCCCTTCCACGATGGGCCTGGGTCCTTGTGAAAGTCCTGCACATTTAATTTCTTATCCTTCCTATTTTCAATAAGGAAGTGGCTGGGACTGTCTTTTTAATTGAAAAAAAAAAAATTTCCCCCATCATAAGCTTTATGCAAATAAAACACACCACTTGTCTTCAGAGCTACAGCTAATTTACTTTGGCTCCTGTTCCCCAGAGAGGAGAAACAGCGTTGCACATGGCTGCTCGATCCGGCCAAGCTGAGGTCGTGCGGTACCTGGTACAGGACGGAGCTCAGGTGGAAGCCAAAGCTAAGGTACGTGTGACACCAGAAATCCTTGGCTGTGAGGGAAAAAACTTTGGTTTTAATAAAACCTTTAGAGATATGCATGGTTTCTTCTAAGGACACTGTTTAAAAATAGTCAACAACCTCCAAGAACAAAAGTCTCCAACCAAGTGCTATTGTAAAAGAATCCTTCCCTGTACATGTGTCCACTCAATTATTGAACAGAATTAAACAGAACAAGGACATTTTGCCAGAAAGAACTTTGTGTCCCTGGCATTTACAGATTAGAAACTGAACCTAGACTTGGTCAGAGTTCTTTGCATTCTATGAAAAAGGGCTTATGCCCAAAGCTTCTAGAACAAGTCCAGCTTCAAAGCATAATTAAGATCTTCTGGTTGACTTATATATCAGCTGTCACAGCCACAAAAGGAAAAAAGAAGCTTTTGCTTTTTCTCCTGAAGTTGTGAAACTGTAGACCAGGGATCTGCTTTTACAATGAAGGAGGTCAGGGTTGAATCTGAGCCCTTCATTCTCTGCAGGTGTTTAACCTGTAAAAGAAACTTGCCTTTCTGTCACTCCTGGATGGGTAGTTCAGGTCAGGAATCATAAATACTTCAATGCTTTAAAAATTAAGCATCTCATTTTAACCTAGGAAATATAAATACACATTTAGTTGCCATTCATTTCCATGATCTATAGTTTCTAGTCTCAAGTGTAGAGAAACTGAAATGTTAGCATGGAATATTTCTAGAACTTTTAAATTCCTCCCCTATGTGGTCAGCTGTGTCACCCATAACTAATTGGACCATATTTTTTAAAATCAACTTCTATCAAAATCAACTTCTATCAACTTCTCTCCAAAGTTTCAATTTAGTGTTTTTAAGGAAGAATAAAGCCTTTCCTTTCATATATATATAAAACCTCTTTACATACTGTTTAATTGTATAATTAAAGCAATGAGTACAAATATAGTACAAACTAGTAGCTGGTACAAATATACTACCTTGGGAACAAACACAACCAGGTCTTTTTGTTATAAAACCCACAGGTGGGTGTAGACTGTGATATTCTAGGCAACAGTCCTCAGAATGAGTGTCCAGTGTATTGTGGTGCCACTTAGTGGATTTTACAGAGGATCTGGACAGAAGTTAGCACACCTCATATAAAGGGCCTCATAGTAAATGTTTTAGTCTTTGTAGGATGCACTGTCTGTCACAGTAGCTGAGTTCTGCTGTTGTAGAGCAAAGGGAACAACAAGCAACACATGAGCAGTGGACAGGAGGTATTCCACTAGAACCTTCCTTACAATTGCAGGTGGCATCTGGATTTGGTCCCTGGATCATTCTGTTTTGACCCCTACTCTAGGGGATTTGATTAATCCACTAAATCAGTTAAATGGAATGGCTAAGCTAGGCTGTACTCCAGCTTTTCAAGAAATCTCACATCAATGAGTATCTTTAGTTACCTATAAAGCTTCTTGCCTAAGGAATGCTTTCCCACACAAGCTGAAATTGAGGCTAGGATTTATAGTTATCATTTCACTAAGCAGGCAGTGTGAATCACAATTAAGAGCCTGACTACTTGACTCAGTGGACTACTTGGGTTTGGGCCTAGGTCCACTCAGTAGCTGTGTCACATTTGATACATTAATTAGCAGTTCTGGGCCATGTTTTCTTCTCTGGTTCCTGCATATAGAAAATGAGAATAATGATAGTTGCAATTCATAGCATCGTCTTGATAATTAATGAGCTAATGTAGGTGGAGTACTTAAAACAGAGGTGAGACATATAAGGAATCAGTAAGTTTGTAGTAGTAGTGGCAGTATTTGAGTTTGATGAGATTTTTCTTTGGCAACTGTATTTTCCTGCTTTCAATATTCTCTTCTTCCTTGTGGCATCCCCTCTAACTCCTCCCATTCTTCTTACTGGTTACAAAGACCCTCCTTCTTTGACCTTAACCCTCATCCTGTTTATTTTTTAAAAGTGCCCTATGTTCTAGCCTCTTCTCTCTATTTCCCCTATATACACCAGGACTTTTTCACATTCTAGTAGGAGATTTCTCTCTGGAGCACCACTTTGGGCATGTTGGGCAAAGATGCCCCTCTCCCTTTGGGTACAGGCCTACCGAGTGCTTCATGCCCTAGGTCAGTATAGGCACCCATGGCACATGCTGCTATGCTCGCTCAGCCCCCCAGCCATGCTGTCATGCTGTCTGGGAGCCTTTGCACCGAGGTATCTCCAAACCCTATTGTTCCCTCCTCTCCCTCTGCTTTTGGCTGTGGGAAGACAGCACCAATGAAATAATTCATTTCATATAAGTTCATAACAACTGGTTGAGGTATATCAGACCTCCCAGATATTTGAGTTTCACCAGGATAAATTTCCTTATTGCTGCAAAAGCAGTCACTTCAGGTTAATGACTGATAAAGGATGTAGGTGGTAGTGAGAATAATTTGTAGATAGAAACACCCTTTACCATTTTCATATTAATAGGTTCCTCATAAGGTACTTAAGGTGCTAAGATCTTCCATCTTCACCTTTCTGAATCTTGCAGAAAAAGAGAAATGGGATTCTCTTTAGTATTAAAGTTGAAAGTGGCCCTGATAGCAAGCAACTAAATTCACTTTATTTTTCATGATGACACCATCATTTTCTCAACTCATCAGCCTTGTGTTTCTGCCTTGCCATTTAGGATGACCAAACCCCACTCCACATTTCTGCCCGATTGGGGAAGGCGGATATAGTACAACAGCTGTTGCAGCAAGGAGCATCTCCAAATTCAGCCACGACTTCTGGGTATACCCCGCTCCACCTTTCGGCCCGAGAGGGCCATGAAGATGTAGCTGCATTCCTTCTGGATCATGGCGCATCTTTATCTATAACAACAAAGGTAAGAAAGCAAATTTTGGAATCCTGCTCTCTCCCCCAAAATACATCCTGCTCATTGATCCTGGTGGGGTAATAGGTACAAAAGCTATACAGCAACATCTACACTAGTGATCCCATGTAGTCAAAACCCTTGGGAGGGGCAGGCTAGTAAATAGTGTGTGTGAGAGTGTGTGTGTGTGTCTCCTTAGTTCTTCAATAACTATCTTCTGATGAACTTCATTGATATCTCGAAAATTTGTTGATATCAGATATTTGTTGATATCAGATACACAGCCTCAGATTTCCTCACTGAGGTCAGTTATACAGACCACATTATCAAACCTCAGTTGATGCTTTTGTAACATTTTCAAATTTGGGGGTGAATTCTTGGGTTATTTTTGTTTGATGTTGATCTTTCTGTTGTCTGACTTATGGTTCCATTTTCTTTTTCTTTTTTTTAAAGATTTATTTAAATATGCATACAAGAACTGGGGTACAGGCCAGAGGTGTGGGGGGTGAGAGGACTCACCAGAGACAAAGTAGGGAACAGAACAGGCAGATTGACTGAAATACATTGCTCCATTTTCTTTTTAATTCAACTCTGATGCCTTAAAGAAGTAACCGACCACAGTTGATCTGCTGGTGCTGGTGCAGAATGCAAAATCTTGAGCTCATTTTTCTTGGAATGATATGATATCAAGCTATCAAGAATGATAGCAAAATGAATTGGCCTATGGTATATCTCAGAAAGCTAGAAGTTGGTATTGCACCCTCCTATTAGAGTGCAGATAAGAAACTTCAAGGTTAGATCAGTGAGACAATAATTATAATAATTATGAATACTTGGAAAACTATCTGAATACATGAACACTACCTCAAACTTCACCCTTTGTAACTCCGTAGGCTCTGCAGTAGAGTTAAAGTACAAATTCCTGGATCTCATTTTACTATGAGAAAGAATAATAGGTGGTAGGGTTTAAATACCCCAGGCCTTCCACCATGCCATCTACCCATTGGCACATATTTGCTATAGTCTCATGAGGTCAAATGTTATGATGATCTGCCAGTCTCATGCTTGGGGCCTTCTGTAATGGTATATGCTAGCTGACAAATTGATAACCAGATTCTTGTAGGACTTGAAAGCAACTACTCAACTCTTAGTATACAATTCTCACAAACTAGTAGACTAGACCTATGTGCTGTTATTCAGCTCACCATGGAGGTTAAGGGGTGAGGACCTCTGGCTCCTACTCCTGAAGATCAGGGTGTACATAGGGATATGTATATACATGTGAAAATAGGGAATGGGGAAGAGAAGGGATTCAGGCTGGTTATGTGATATTATAGAAGGTCCAGATTTGCTCTGAGTTTTCCTAAACCCTCCAAATTGGGCCTAGAACCTTGTAACCCATTCTTCCTACAGAATAAAATCCCAGAATGGCCCTAGAAAACCACACCAATCCAGTGTTCCCATGTCCTCCTGGTCACATGTCTGTTTAGTCCCAGAAGTAATGGCATGTGTGGCTCAGCCATTAAAGGGAGATAGATTTCATTAGCTATCCTGCTCATCTTTGTTGGTAAGGGGACTCTGTTACCTACCAGTTTGGGTTCTTAAATGCAGACTTAACATCTCTTCATTACTAGAATAATTCATCAGTTCCAGAAAACCCCTGCCTTTTAGTCATATCTGTTCATTATTTTTATGTTTCTTTTTTCAGAAAGGATTTACACCTCTTCATGTGGCAGCAAAATATGGGAAGCTTGAAGTAGCCAATCTCCTATTACAGAAAAGTGCATCTCCAGATGCTTCTGGGAAGGTATGAGGCCATCCGCTCCCCTATGACAGGCCACTGCCATGCTAACAAAATAAACACTTGCTAATATTCACCAACAGCCACCTAAATTATAACTAAACAATATTTAAGTCTCATAGGAAGAAGAACGCTTGGGAAATTGGAGGTAAATGCTGGAGCCCAAGTATTGTGGAAACTGGATTGTAAACAACACTCTGAATTGTATTCAATTTAATCCTGTCTTCTAAATCTAGACCTCAGATGTCCAAACACTTTTGACACTGGTTGTTGTTTCTGCACGTGTTTTCAGAGCGGACTAACTCCACTGCATGTAGCTGCTCATTACGATAATCAGAAAGTGGCCCTTCTGCTTTTGGACCAAGGAGCCTCACCTCATGCGGCCGCAAAGGTACCTGTTATTCTACAGAATGAAGAGACTGACGGGCAGTGCCCATCAGCTCTCTATATGCAGCTACTTCTACTTGATCTATGGCGCCTTGCTCCTTTAGATACCACTTTAGAGTCACAGAGATTACAAGCTCCTGAAGAAATCTGTGCTTTCAGTTATTTAGTCGACTAATGTGTTAGATATTTGATAAATATTTCTTGTTAGTTCTTCCTTAAACATCCATGACATCTATGCCTGGAGAGGAAAAGAATTTGAAGTACTCTTCTGCCAATTAAAAGCATAAGCAGAAAATGAGAGTGAGAAGGTGCTAATGTGTCAACATTATAAAATATGTGGTACATTTTCCTGGCCACAAACATGTCCTTTGCATTCTTTATTTATCTTTGTAAAATAGGTTGGGAGTTTTTGCTTATGTGTTTTTACTATTGCTAAGGAGAATCTTTATTCTTACTAGGGAATTTTTGAGACGTGGTCAACTTAGATACTCAGAGGCGTAGAGTAGATGATTTTCTTATTTCTCCAGTGTTCTGATCTGAGAGGCAAATCACAAAGAAGAATTGATATAAACATAGGTTAATAGAGTGCTGTTGGTGTCATACATTCTCTATTATCAAGCAGGTAGCTGTGATCAGAGAACGCTGAAATGATACAAAGCACAATTTTTTTTAAAGATTTATTTATTTTTATACAAGAGCTGGGGTACAGGTCCGAGGCGCAGTGGGGTAAGAAGATTCACCAGAGACAGAGCAGGGAGCAGAACAGACAAACAGACTGAAGACACTGCTGAGGGGAACAGCAGGTGAAACAGGAGAGGTCTGCCGCGCCATGTGGGAATCTCCCAGGCCAGCTGGGAATCAAACCTGCGCTGCAGAGGCTTCGGACAGCTTCACAGCTCTTCACTCAACCCTCTGCGTCCTGGGGGAGGCCCACAAAGCACAATTTTAATGACATCTAATTTTTTTTAACTTAATACTATTATACTTAATACTGCAGCCTCCCTAACACTTTTCACACATTTGTTTATAACTCTTGCACTTCAGGCCAGCTACTGTGCAGTCCTTTAACCTTGGTGTTTAGATCTAATCCCTTTTTAACATAAATCAATGAACTTGGACTGCTCTAGATTACTTTGGATATTTTATGAGTATAAAGTTATCAGATACTTTTACCATTTAGAGTATGTTACCTTTGACAAGTATCTCTCCTCAGAAACTCTCACCCTGTATTTCTCAATCATCTCCTACCAGAATTGTACCCACTGAAATCAACAATTTGAAGTTAGTCTTCCAAACATTCATTTCATCTGAATGTGATTTCATCTTAATGTGATTCCCTTTCTCACCCCCATAATTTCTAGCCCTGACAAGCACCCTTTTTATTGTAAAGTCAAGCTGTGACTTTAGGGAACACTTTCTCTCTAAAAAAAAAAAAAATGGATAGCAGCATTATTCACAATAGCTTAAAGGTGGAAGGAACCATTGAAGGAAAAATGGACCAGCAAAATGGGGTATATACATATCATGGAATATGACTCAGTGTGAAGAAGGTAGGAAATTCTGACATGTGCGACAACATAGAAGAACTTCAGAGACATTGCACTAAAAAAACAGACACAGAAAAGGACAGATATTGTATGATTTCACATAAATTGAGTCAGAAAAATGAATGTTGCCTGCCAAGGTATCAGGACAGGAGGAAATAGGAGTTAATGTTTAATGGTTAGAATTTCCATTTGGAGATTGATGGTGATAATGGTTAGAGAATAGTGTGAATGTATTTAATGCCATTTGACTGACTATGTCCTTTTGAAAAAAAGTAGTTAAAATGATAAGCTTCATGTTATGCATAGTTTACCACCATTTTTAAAATGGGAAAATTTTATAATTAAATTTAATGGGTGTTCATTTCATTTTCATTTATTTGATACCCCTTTGAACCTGGGCCACTTTTCTTATAAATAACCCCATGTTCTTGGTTGGCAAATGGAAAATAACAAGTGAACTATTCATTCCTCATATGAGAATATTAATTTTGACAGAACTGGTACCAAGCAGTTTAGAACTGACACGGTTGTAAGATACTAAGTGCAACAAAATGCGTTCATTTTTCCTTTCCATCCACAAATAACTCTTAAACAGGTCAGCAGTTGATTTCTAACTTCATATATGTCAAACAAAACTTCAAATATCTTCAACAAAGAGTTAAAATATAGTCCTTTCATTCCTTCCAATAGCCTCTCAGCCTTTGACATATCTTTTATAGTCAAATGAATGAACACAAACTTGTGTAATGAAACATTGATTCTCATTCTTATAGCTCAATTGACTCCATAATAGTCTGTAACTCCATCTCCATAATAGTCTGTAACTCTATCTCCAACCATCCCTGCTTTTTATGGCAGTGATCCTGGTCAGGAATATTTTCTAGTCTTTGATCCTGAGTAAAGCCAGTATTTCTGTTAGGGATTAGCTTCATTTGCTTGAAGGAAACAAGAAATTTCACTACATTGGTTTAAACTGATGAGACTGTTTTTATTCTCATGTCATAGTCAGGAGGGAGGCAGTAGTTGATAATGGTCCAGTGTTTCCAGAGTGTTGAGGGAAATTCCCTGTGTTTTGTTTTTTGTTTTTGTCTTTGTCTTTCCCTCCGGACATTGTTGTTGCTTAGATTGCCAGATCCCCTTTTCAAACTATGGGCAGAAAAGAAAGTCAAGCAATTGGGCATTCCAGAAACTCTACCCAACCATTTCTCCTTATATCTCATTGGCCAACACTATCTGCAAGGGATGTTGGGAAATGTAGTTTTTCCCACACTCGATTCCCTAGGTTCCTTTATTTAAGGAAGGAAGGAGATTGACTATAGAATAGACTAATAGCCTCCTTTAGGGAAGCTCAAGCATTTCTGGTTCCTGGCAATGGTGAGAAATGAAGGACAAAGGTTCAATAGGGCAGTATTAGTATATTGATATGACATGGTAACTTCAGTTTTGCTTTGCAGCCTTGGCTCTTAGAGTATGTGAAGATTTCTTCTTGCCTTCTCAACTATTATTTAGATTTGCTAACATACTTTCCTACTCATACATGTTGTGGAAACATGATGTGATGTTTAGGAATAGGGACATAGAGTGGTAGTGCTGCAAATGTAGTTGGGCTTCTATATTCCACTTAACCAGATCTGCTGCCTGAGGAAGGCTAGCTACTCTGGTACAAAGAGAATTGGCTTGAGCTCACATATAACTTTGTCACTAATTACAGGAGAGATTGTGACTTGTTTGTCAATTTCATCTTCCATAAAATATCTACTGTATTTATGGATATAACCTATTATAGATTATGAATGATCTTAGAAAAGAATGATGTAAATATATAACTTTGATAATTAAAAATTACATTTGCTTTGTTTTCATAGTAAATTGCAAAAACTCAGTTGAAAAGCACTTTGTCCTCTGCATTAAGAAGAAAAGAATACTAAGATTATTCTACAGTTGAATCTCACTATTTTATTTCCCTTCTGATAAATGCATCTGTTTCCTTTAATATGTCAAGCGAGAATTGTTTTACTCTCCAGAAACTAGAAAGAACTTAGGAAATTCAGAAAATTCCATTACAGGTCTCAAGATAAGCTATTATTTGAAATATTTAAGTCTTTCTGAGGTTAACTGTCCATTCTTACATGACTATCAATTGTTTCCCCTTCGCTTTATATTTTCCTTTGTATCTCAGGCAAGGAGCTCAGGATAAACCACTCATTGATAATGAGTAACTTGTCTAGAATTGGTGTGCTCATTACAGAGATTCCAGAGCTTCTCTTATTTAGTGTATTTTAGGACCTAGGGTTTTTGGGTGGAATTAGAAGTAATCAAGAGGACCATCACATCTTAGAGGATAGTGAGCTGTTTTATCATTTGGGGTTGAAAAGCAACTACCTGAAATTTATGTCAGCAGCAAAAACAAAAAGAGATTAGATCCATAATAAGAAACTAAACTCTATCTTGCTTTACATACTCTAATTAGCTAGTGTTAGACATATTGACTAATCATATTTCCTATTTTAGCACTCCCTTGTGATTTTTTTCTTTTATGCAGGGTGGAGATGTTAGTGAAACACCTTACCCGCTCCTGTCACTCACATAGAGTTGCTATGCATTCAACTCTAAAGACATCTCTGAAGGGTGTTTTCTAAGCAGAGGGTCAAATACTTCCCAGGTCAGCTGGAGTTTCCAGATGGCAACATGTCAAAACTAAAAATAGGGATAGAAGATCTGCCCTGGCTCATCCCATTTGGCAGAGGCTGGTTTCAGAAAGAGTCTAAATGTGACATTTCCTTTCATGGGTTGATAGCCTACAGCCTAAGCCCTCTTCAGTAGATTGTAGAAAGGGTGTCTTTCCAGTGAGAAATGCTGTTGTACTAGGACTTGCCAGTGACTTAAAAATGGGTTAATTGCAGTAAGCAATTTGATCAGTGGAGCAGCAGCTGGGACCTCCCTCTGTGCTGTTTCTGGCCTATCCATATGGCCTAGGAAGATTCTGACTCTTCTGTTATTTAGATCTAGATCACATTCCCAAATATGAATCCTCTGATCTTTTAATCTAGTTTAAAATATTTTAATTTGCCATTGGCACATTTTATATGGCCAGTCAAATCCATCTCAATATATAATCTTGAATTTCTCTTAAATAACTGTGAACAAGTAAAAGATTTCCCAAGGCAGAAAGATTTCTTTCTCAGAAGAGAGGTCTTTCAGGGTTCCTATGTCACAGCTAATTAACAGTTTATCAAAGGAATTTTGGTTGCCTCTACCTCTGAGCATCAAAGGTCAGCCAAGAGAAGGATCCCAGAATGTTCTTAAAACTCAACTTGACTCAATTTATGAAGATTCATCAGTCATTTTGAGGTGCTTAGATACAAAGACAGACATAACACAACACATACTCTCAACAAATTTATATGTTTGTGGGAAGAAACCCATGTATAAACAAAAGTAATAGTATATATTAATATCTAGTGGCCCCCTAATATCTCTAGGACTTTTTTAAAATTTATTTATACAAGAACTGGGGTACAAGTCAGAGTTGGAGGGTAAGAGAATTCACCAGAGACTGAGCAGGGAGCAGAACAGGCAGATGGACCAAAGACACTCCTGAGGGGAGCAGCAGGTCTGCTGCGCCATGTGGGTTTCTCCCTGGCCAGTGGTGACTCGAACTCATGCTGAAGAGCCTGTGGACAGCTTCACAGTGCGCTGCTCAACCAACTGCACCACCAGGGAGGCCCTATCTTTAGGACTGTTATTGCAGTCAGTAGGGTGAGAAATGGGTGTAGGAGGGGAGAAGAGGTAGAAGACTTTAGGAGGATCTGACCATTGAGCTGAATTTCCACTGATAGATGTTGGCCCCAAGGGCATTTTTGAAAATAGTGTTTTTGGAAGCCTAAAACAAGACAGCAACTGAGCTGTGTGTTGTCTGGGAAGTCAGTTAAGCTGAAGCATAGCATAGAAATGTGGGTTTCATAAAAGAGGCAATCAGAGGTGCAAATGGAAATAAATATCAGAATATATTACCATGAAGAGTAAAATTTTCAATTGGTAAGCGATAGATGACCATTAAATGGATTTTAAAGGTAGAACAATAGCTCTGAACATGCCCCAGTGGTGCTGGAGTGTTTGTTGTTTTCCTCTTATCTTCAGTTTAAATAAAGCAAGTTACCATTGACCATCTACTAACATAACTGCCTGCAAGAAGAAATTCTGTATTCCAGGAGGTCTCTGACACTTGCATTAAACTATCTGTAGTATATGTGCCCTCCTCAGACGTGGCGGAGACTTGAGGACACCACACTAATGACACTGCTTGATTTATCGGTGTTTGCTTACTTAAGTCATGTTTTTGTTAAAACGATGAAAGAAAATTGCTAGAAAATTTGAAGGTGCTCTGTACACATTTTTATCATGTTGCTGGGCATGTGACCAAGTGTTTTGTGTTGACAGAATGGTTATACGCCACTGCACATTGCTGCCAAAAAGAACCAGATGGATATAGCGACAACTCTGCTGGAATATGGTGCTGATGCAAATGCAGTTACCCGGCAAGGAATTGCTTCTGTCCATCTCGCAGCTCAGGAAGGACATGTGGACATGGTGTCACTGCTCCTCAGCAGAAATGCAAATGTGAACTTGAGTAATAAGGTAACCTTGTTCTTTCTGTACAAAGCATGCAACCAAACAAAAACTCACCCCTCGGGAAAGTCACTAAGAAGTCATGAAAAATCCAAATCAAATAGAAAGTGTAAAGTGTAATATTGCTTGAAGGTGTTTCCAGAGTGTTCTTTACTACAGCAAAAAACGAACAAACAAACAAAACAAAACAAAACAAACAAAAAAAACTTGAGTACAATCTGTCTAAATAATAAGACAATGGAGTCCTGGGCCTTGAAGGTTTGTTCTCCTCTCCTTCCCGGCCCAAGGCCTCTCCCATCGTCATGATCCTCAAGATCCTCAGGCCAAGAATCCTCCCAGCTTGATCCCCTCTTTGTATTTACTGGAGCCAGAGGTACTGGAACAGAGCTGTGTGTCATGCACCTGGGTTTGTCCAATCCAGATGTTAATTGGGACAGAAAGAATAACCCAGAACCTTGGAACAAACTGGGTCCCAGTAAGCAGTACAAGTTCTACTTAGTGAATGTAGATGACAGCGAACTGAAGGAAGAAGGGGTCCAGACTTCTAAATGGAATATTTCCTTATTAAGCTGCTTAAAATAAAAGCCTTGCAGAAGCCATCCATAGCATTTTCCATTTAACCAGGAAATAATTCCCTACATGCACAAAACCACGTTGGTGTATTGGGTTGGGGTTTACACTAATTAATATCTTGAAACGTGAAAAAAAAATGTCAGACAATGGCTGGTCCATAATTCCAGAATCAAACAGTTAAGCAACATATACCTATAAAAGTGAAGTCCACAGCAATTTTTCTGAAACCATGAAGTTTTGTAAAAACTTTTAGACAGTAAGAACAAAACAGTATTTAACAGAAGGAAGGGGAAAGGTGATAGGAAATAAGGTGAAAGGGGTCAACTGCATGGTGATACGTGGAAACCAGAATTCTGGTGGCGAACACAAGGTAGTATATACAGCTGCTGATTTTATTTCATTCTTTCTTTAGAATAGCGAAAAATATTTTACTGAACCATAAGATTTACAGAAGTTTCCTGACAAGCCATAGAAAGTGGTCTTGAGCTTTTTCTTGAAGGGAGGATTCTATACTTGACAGCTAGGTCACCGTGTTATTAGTGAGGGCTGTGAGGTTTGTTTAATGTTCCCATTTTGGTTCATTCAAGCTTGTCCATCTACAGCATCTATATAAAGTTAGACTTGGCTAGAGAGGACATTCTAAAGAACTGGTTAGCTGCTTTTACCAATGCAATTAAATCACTGTAAAAAGGGGGGAAGGGAGTCCATAAAATTAAAATAAAACTACTCCCTCAAAAAATAATAAACATCGCCCACAATCCTGCAGCTAACCCTGACAAAAACTTCATTCACAGTGCTCAAACCATAATGGGAGCATAAAGCAAAGCAGAGAGGAGGGTCCACTGCTTTTAAACATTTCACAACAATCCAGATGATACTAGTCGCCTCTGCTCATGCTTTGCAACAAGGAATCAAGACAGGCATAGATTTGCTAATGTGCATTTCATCACCAAAGAACAAGAGGTCTGGGCTTTTATTCTGTAATGTTGATAAGGCTGTGTCCATTAAATGCAACAAAAAATGAAGAAGTCTGGCAGAACAGAAGTGATGCTCACTTTATGATGAGATCAATTTAAATATTCATGGCATGCAGCCTAGTCCATGCTCTAGCGGTTTCAGCAGCCTGGGCTTCTCTGGTCTCCCAGTGCTCACGACATCATCTGTTAATGGATCATCTGGGTTGGGAGCACTTAACAAAGCCTGGATCGATAACAGAACTGCATGGATCTGCAGTGCTGAAGACCGCTTATCTTTCAAAATATCTAAACATATTCTTCCCAACTTGTCTACATTAATGTGATAAATTTTGGTTATGAAACATACTTTTGGAACTGCCATTGGCTATTCTTCTGGAAGGCATAGTTCAAGTTGAAAAGTCCTTCCCTCAAAAGGGCTATCCTGGAGCCAGCAATGACCACCTTAATGATGGGTGCTGCTTTCATCTGGTTCTGCTTTGATGCCTGGAACCGGTTCTGCCAAAAAATGCTGGCTTTCCTTAATAATCATTCAGGGCCACCCAGCCATCTTGTCAGATCCTGGGTTTAGCCGGTGGTTTTATTTCTGGCTCCACTGGCCTCATCCACAAGAGGAAGTCCCAGGCTCCACAGATGTTGATTTTAAAGGCTGAACACCTGAAATGTAAATAATGTTCCATATAAATCAGTAACACTTCAACTTTAAAAAAAGAATTAACTGGGAAAAAATCAAAAACATGAAGTTTTGTTAAAATGTTCATTCACCTAGCATCATTATTACCTCAGCAAACAGCCAAGTAAGAAGTTGTAAATTCTATCATGTTGATTCATTCCTCAAACATTTTAGGGTACCAACTCCTTGACTGATTCAGTTTTTAAGTCCTAGGTTATAAAGAGAGATTAGAAACAGTGTGGCTTCACCAATGCACCTGTGCACCATCACCTCAGTCCCCTGTGCCTGTTTTTGCTTTGTTGTGTTTTGTACTGTTATTTTTTTACGCTGATGGTGCACGGGTGCATTGGTGAAGGAAACTCTGTGGGGACTACACTTGAGGGGGTGGGGGAAGCAAATATTGTTTAAAAATGAACAATGATAGAAAAAAAATTTAAATTAATATAAAAATAAAAAATAATTAAAAAAAGAAACTGGCTTCAGAGATTTCATCTTAATAACAGAAATTTAGAGTATTTTATTAAATAGATTGGAAAGGTTGATAGCTTACATGTGTTGTCCTTGCTTATAAATTAGCATTTCCAAGAAAATTGGAACTTTGTTCTTGATATTCTTCATACTCTCTTGCCCTAAACTTGATATTTCCATTATCAGTGAAGAAACAACCAGAATATTGTTACACAAAGTGAAGATCTACTCCATAATTGATCAGAGACATGTTAATGATGTTACAACCTCCTGTTACATGTACTATAGAATCTGGATTTGTTGAACTACGCATTAATATGTGAGCCTAAAATTTCTCCCTAACACAAGTGAGATCTCTCTACATCTTTCACTAGAGGGTAGCCCCCTGTAATATTCCCCTGAATTCTTGATAACCCCAATTCCCTGACACTTAGTTTCTCTACCAGTTGGTAATGGCACAGCTGTGACATTTCTCAGCTTTAGCTCAGATTTTGGAGTAGTTTCAATATAGTAATGATTTTATGGTGACAGTAAATAACTTAAATATTTTTAACACATGTGGCCTGTAGCTTGGAGTCACTGAGAGTTTTTGTCCAAAGTTTGATTCTTAAATAGACGTGACTATGTGAGTCCTCTGAGCCTCAGGGTCATCCTCTAGTAAACAAAGACAAGAATATTTACTTAACAGAGATGTCATGAGCACAAACGAGATAACATTCAGTGCCTTCTAAATATTAAAAAAAAAAGTTGCATTAATTTTGAACTATTCACCATTTTGAATAAAGGTTATTTTGTCCTAAACTGAATTCTCCAGAATTTGGCAAATTCTGTAGACTAAGAGATATACATAAGAAGCCAGAAAAACTGTTCTTTTCAATTTGGATATCTTGAAAATCCTTTCAAAGTGAGCACATTTTTCCTGCTATGCCAATTTGATTTTCTTGAATGTTTCCTTTTAATCATCCTTTCTAGAAATAGAAGTTGCAGCATTAAAAATGAGAATCACAAAACCATTTCAAATAGTTATAAAAATGGACTGAGTCCATTTTTGAATTTTGTTCATACACAAATGTATAAGCCAGTCTAATTATTACTGCAAAATTCAACTTGTCTTAATGAGGTAGAAGAGTTAAGTTCAGTGTGCTCCCCTAATTAAAGAACATTCTGGCACCCCAACCATTAAACTCTATTTTCTCTTGTAAGCTCAGAATAATATATGTCATTAATTCTCACAGACAATTTTTTTCAAGGTACACTTTCAGTGGCTTTGATACCAAAGTATAGAATGAATGACACTTTTTTTTTTCTTTAAAATCCTCCAATCTACTGCTTATAATCTAACCTTGAGTTCACTTTAGAAACATAGAATTTTTTAGGCTGAAATAGTTTAGAAAAAAATTCTCAGGGTTTGTTTTGGAAGACTGTACATTAGCAAGGGAATTCTGAGGACCAAAAGACACACATAGTAAACCAGGGAAACCTGGACATTTCAAACCACTATCTGAATAAAGTATACACAGGCAGAGATACTTCCAAAGAACTTTAACAGTAGATTAGCTGTCTTCCCACTATTATGTTGTACTTAAGGAATGTTCAAGAACTTCACAGAACCTAGAGACTATCCAGTAGAAACTATACATCTTTGCACCCTTTCTCAATTGTTATTTCCTATAATATATCAAATAAGCCCTGTATGAAAAACAACCAACAGAACTTTATGATTTGATAAGGAATTCTGATAGTTTTGTAATCAGTTCTTGAGTTAACGGGTTTTAAAGAACAGGTACTGTCCTTTTATTCCTCCCACCTGCCTATCCACCTTCCCATTTAGCACTAGACTTAGTTTCCTTGTTAAAAAGTAAATATTAATGGAAAGATTTATGTTTCATGAAAATTTATGTTGAACTAAACACTTCATTGCTTTAATTTATTTCTTACCAGAAGTTCTAAGTAGTTTTTAGCAAAAGACCCCGCCATCCTAAGTTACTGCTGAAATGCTTTGACGATTTAATTTTCCTCTTGAAGTTATTGTTTCCCCACATGGAATTTGCAGATTATAGCTAGTTGTATTTCTCAACACAGCTAACAGAATTTTGGGCAAAACTGTTACTGTTCTGAGGTAGTTGTGATTTTGCTATTTTCAAGTAAATGCCATTTTTTAAAAGATTTATGCATACAAGAACTGGGGTACAGGCCAGAGATGTGGGGGGGAGGGCGGTGAGAGGATCCAGCAGAGAAAGAGTGGGGAGCAGAACAGGCAGACTAACTGAAATACACTGCTGAGGGGAGCAGCAGGCGAGTCAGGAGAGGTCTGCCATGCCATGTGGGTCACCTCCCCGGCTGGCCGGGAAATCAAACTCATGCTTCATAGGTTGGCCTTAACCCCTTGCACCACCAAGGAGGCCCCTAAATGCCAATTTTTAAATGAGCAAGGTTGAAACCCCATAAAAGATTAACAGACAAGTTCTGAACTCCAACAGGGCTGTTTCAAGCATCACATTTGTTTTCAAAAATCTTTTATATCAAAGTCATGAATTCAAAAATAAAATTTTCTTTTTAATTTATCCAGTTTTGCCTAAAAGATACTTGCTTTTTCCTCTGATTCAATCATCAGCAAATGGTTTAAATGCTAGATACTATATCCTGATTATATAAAGGTTAAAGATACAATATTTGTCTGAATAAGTTCACAGTGGTTAGAGGAAGAGAAGAAAACAGTGTTTAAATGCAGGCTTATGATGTTCCTGATAGAGTTGAGCTCATCAAGGTGTGCACATAAATGTGACAAGGAGGGACCTCCCCTGGTGGCATAGTTGGTTGAGCACAGCGCTGTGAAGCTGTCTGCAGCCTCTGCAGCTCTGGTTCCATCCCAGCTGGCGAGGGTCCCCACATGGTGTGGCAGACCTCTCCTGTTGCGCCCACTGCTCCCCTCAGCAGTGTATTTTGTCAGTCTGCCTGTTCTGTTCTCCACTCTGTCTCTGGTGAATTCTCTCACCCTCCCACACATCTGGCCGTACCCCAGTTCTTGTGTAAAATAAATAAATCTTTAAACAAAAAAAGTGGCAAGGAGACCCTTTGTGAAGCAAGGAGAGAGGAGATCTGGAAAGTTGCAAGTGACTCTGAGCCATTGGTGGAGTGGGTCACCATGGGGGCAGCATGAATGCAGACAGGAGCACATGCCACAATATATTTCCCGGTCTTTGCTGAGAACCAGCAACGTATCTTCAGCATTTTAAAAAGTCACAAACTTAGAATAGGGGAATCTGCCATTTCTGCTAAATTTTATGGCTGAAAATGTTTGTTTTCTCAAAAGCAGAACATGGAACATTGTTCTATGATTGTGTCAGTGTTTGGGTGGTGCCAGTTTTGGCACTGGCTTATTTTTCTTGGATTTCAAGTGACTGTATCAGTCCCTCTTTCATATTTCCTCGTATTCAGTGTAAGTGAGCTTCCTCTAAAATTTTATAAACACTATTTAAAAGTCATGAGCAAAATGACTCTTCCTGAGTCCTATAATTTGTTTGGCAGAATAGCAACCCCTAAATAAGTCATGTTTGGCATCTAAAGGGCCCCGTAGGCTTCCTGATGCTGCATTTGAATCGCTCCTTTCCTCTGACAAGCAGTTCAGCCTGATGCTTTCATTGTACAGATGCTAACCGGGGACAGAAGGGGGTTGGGGGTAGAGAAGGCTCCAGAACAGAAGATATTAAATTCTGTGCTCATAATGGATGAAAGGAGAATCTGGAAGCACTCAAATCAACTCACTTTCTTGTAAATAATTATTTATGGAAAAAATACAACTACAGAGGATTTTTAATCCAGAAAAGAGTCTTAGTGATTTTTTTTTTTTTTTGGCCATGAAAACAACCACATGACCTATATATTCTGTGATAGAGTCAGTTTTAAAAGTTCAGTCTTGTTAAACCCCTCTACCACGTCAATGGCCTGGAAATTCTCCGAGCATTCACAATAGACTTCATAGGCCATCTTATCCAGAGCAATATACAGAAAATATTTGTCAATATTAGTATTTGCTAGGTATTACTATTCAATGGAGAAAATATGTCAACACTCACTTTGTAAGCAATTTTAATTTTAATATCTTCTGCTAAGCTAATGCCATTGGTAACGTATTAAATTTCCTGCATAATTTTGTTAAAGGTATTTTTTAAAAATTAGTATTGAAGTAGGAGGAAAATGATATAATATCTGGGATTTGCTTTAAGATATTTCCACACACATACACAAAACGAAGGAAAATAGGGCTGGGTAAAGCACATGTAGGAAAACCTTGGTAATTGCTGTCTGTGACGAGTATACAGGTTCAGTCCAGGCCCTTCTCATTTGAGGATGTCTGAATTTTTTTAGCCTGCAGATAACAACGCTGATGTGCTGGCATATAAACTTATTCTATACATGTTTTCACATAGAAATTCTAAGCTCATTTTTCTAGAATTCATAAGTTATGCTTCAAAATATGCTTATGTGTGCCACATTCTCTCTCTTAGAAAAATGACTGTATTTTGAATCTTTTGCAGAGTGGCCTGACCCCACTCCATTTGGCTGCTCAAGAAGACAGAGTGAATGTGGCCGAGGTCCTCGTAAACCAAGGGGCCCATGTGGATGCCCAGACAAAGGTACATACAAAGAATATGCCTGAAGTGTCATTGGGTGACTCCTAAATAGAAGCAAGTACAATTTTATAGGAGAAAAATATCTACCATCCTATCCATTATGCACAGTATTTCATATGTCCATCTGTGTAAGGGAAATCAAAATCTGGTTGTAGTATCCCAAGGCTTTATTTTTAATGGCCTGGATACCTTATCCTAGCCACAGAGCCACAGCCCCCTGTTCTAACACCACTGATACTGTTACAATAGACCTGTCCTCCAAGGGCAAAGAGTGGAGGCTTGTTCTTGCCTTAGTTTTTGTGACCAACTGAAAAAACAAATATGGAAAAATTTGTCAGTTATTTGTGACCTCTAGCTATATTTTGACATAGTCCATGAATAGAGATAAATTAAGGGTTATTGGACCATCACTCACTTGATAAATTCCTTGTAGTATATGTGGTTGCTAGCATCTCTTTCTCCACCAAAAATAGCTCATGTCATAATGGGAAAAAAAAAAACCTGACTAATCTGATATAACACCATGACTTCAAACTCAGGTAAGAAAAATGGATGTTTTGTGTCATCGAAGATACAACTTCATATTAATCTTTCTCTGAACATTTTCTTCCAATGCTAATTTTATGAACTGTTCATATGAAACTTATTTTATCTATTCAAAAACATAACTCTTCATTCTCTGTATCCTGAGGAATTAGCCAGGTAAAAAAGACAGAGTAGACATCAAAACCAGAGTGAGTTTTGCTTATATTCTTTATTTTGCTTAGGTATTTTCAGCAAGATAAAAGCCTTTCTTTAGAAATGTGCAACTTTGTATATTCATTCACCCATAATTATATCATTTAACCTCATTTTATACATTTTATACATAAAGTATAGTGTTCAATAAATTCTAGTCCAAGTCTGCCCATAGAGCAATCTTCTGACTCCTTGACAAGTCACAGGATCTGTCTGCCTGGGCTATCTATTACTCCCTCTGTTGCTCCTTTTTGTCCTGAAAAATGTATTATTAGAATAAAATAGCTGTTGGAGAGAGAGCACTTTGGGAAATTAAGTAATTATTTGCATGTGAAATAATATTGTTATTTACACCTACCCCCTGAGAATTATCAATAATCAAGGGTGTTTTTGTTGTTGTTATAAGGGAAAAAAACTTACCAGCTCAAGAAGCAAGGTTAAATAACATTCTTGTTACCGTTTAGCATCACTCTTATTAAAAGTATGCTAATGATATTTCTTTTAAAAACAATATTACAGATGGGATACACACCACTCCATGTGGGCTGCCATTATGGAAACATCAAGATAGTTAATTTCCTGCTTCAGCACTCTGCAAAAGTCAATGCCAAAACAAAGGTAAATTCCTTTCTCCTTTGTACCTACCAAAATCATTCATTTTGTGTCCAAGAAAGTAAGAGTCCTTCCATGTCCCTTCTGCAGAATGGGTACACGCCACTACATCAAGCAGCTCAACAGGGACATACGCACATCATCAATGTCTTGCTCCAGAACAACGCCTCCCCCAATGAGCTCACTGTGGTAAGAACAAGAAGCCAACTCGGGGAAGAGAGAAGGTGTAGACTGGACACCAGTGCCACCTTACATTTCTCATTGTGCACCACTATTGCTTGCTTGCTTTTGCTAATAGACATAAACAGATCCTTTGGTAGAATGAACAGAAAAGTATTATCACTATATTGTCATGAGCTGTTCAGAGACAGATGTGATTAGCATTTCACATTTAAACACTACTGAGTGCATTAACACTCAGTAGGGCGTACATATATAAGAAATAAATGCATGTTTGTTTCCTTGATTTCCTTGACCTTTTAAAAGTTTTTTGGATTCCCCTGTGTAGCCTCAGCCCAGTCTCTGCTGTGTGAGCAGAACAGGTTAGGTGGGTTTTTTGCAAGGTAGGTCTCCAGTCAAACAGTATGTGACAGGGGATGTGACTGAGGAGACACCCTACCTTTTGAACAGGCGAAACGGGTACAGACATACAGGCACTGACATGTGCTAATTCCTTGCGCTTATTTTCCTCTTGCCAGAATGGGAACACTGCCCTAGCCATTGCCCGGCGACTTGGCTACATCTCAGTGGTTGACACCCTAAAGGTTGTGACTGAAGAGATCATGACTACGACAGTAAGTAGTGGATCCCCCAGCTCTTGAGAAATGAGCTTCCTTCTCTCCTTTCTCAGACCACATCCCATGTTTCCAATGCTGTCACCTCATTTCTGGCAGCCAGCATAGCAAAATTCTCATTTCCGAAATAAAGAAAATTTCAGAACAGTAAAAATACCTTTTAAACATCTACACAAGTAGTTATGGAGTTTCAGGTTCCACAGAAAGTCAAATGCATTTTTATTTAATTTGATATAAATTTTTTTCATGAAATAAATGAAGACAGAAAAGCTTTAGCATCCTTTGGCATTATAAGAAAGGTGAAAACTCAAAGTTGGTTCTCTAAAATTAGTAACTCATAAATGATAATGTATACATTAACATGATTGTAGAAATACATCTTATATTGTTATAAAAGTAACATATTAGAAATAGGGTCAAAATTAATTTTTGCATCCAGTCTCACTCCTCCATTCACTTATTGGAGTTTGCATAGGAAAAACAATCGATTGTTTTATTAATATTTAAAGTAAATCCTTCTGGGTGTTCTGGTAAAACTTTACCAGAAAGGAAGAGCATCAGATACATTTTTACAAGCTGCCATCTCTAGGATGAATTCTTCCTTTATAAACCCATCTACTGCCTTTGAACTGTATCCGAATTTGGTTACTTTGGAATTAGGAACAGATACTGAACTACATATGAGTTATTCCTGACTGCATGACTCAACAGGCCTGAGACTGACTCTGTGCATTGTAAATGTAGGACTCTGAAACATTTGGAATTATCAGCTCTGCCTCCTTTTCTCGTTTGCCACCTTCCAACATGAAGGAAAGCGTAGTTAGCATCTGCAAACACTTTGTATGCACAATGCTTTATATAAAAACATGGGCGGAGAGGTTCTGCAGCACCCAGCAGGTTGAATTATTTGGCTATGTACAGGCTTTTAGAAATTAAATAATAAGCCTGCTTATCACAAGGGAGAAGTTTTATAATTCATGAAAAAGAAAATAGTTTTAATGGATTAGAGCAATGGTTATCAACCCAAACACCTTCCTAGTTCGAGAATAGCACTTGCTAAGAGATAAATTCCCACATGTGGTGTTCATACACCTCTGGAGTATTTCGTTATCTTAAAATCTGTTTTTAAAGTCTTTATAAGAGTTTCAACAAATAATGCTTATTATCTTAATTTTATAGAGAACTCATGTGGGCAAGGAAAGAACAAGTATTCAAAAATGACCAAGAGTCACACACTATAAAAGTTTTGAATTCACTGCAAAAATTGTATTATAGAACTTCTGTTTCAATGTTAGAGAATTGAGACTTGCCTAATAGTCTGACAAATAAAAATCTTAGTAGATTGATTGTAAATGTCTTTATCACCCACCAGGCAGTGCAAAATGTGTCTTTGATAACAACAACCCAAAAAAGGCCTAGGAGAAAGTGAAGTTACATACAGAGGAAATAAAGTTATATCCTCAAGAAATCTACTGAAATAGAAGGGCTTCAAGGCCTAGTTCCCTGTGAAAGACAGAAGGTGTATAGAAGCAGTGTCATTTCACTCTCTGCCATCTACTGACTAGGTTAGTGACTTTCTACAGAAGACAGGACTCATGCTGAAAGGGAAGGTCCCAGTTTGCTTCATGAAGGAAATGTGCTTTCCACCCAATGAAGTTCTCACATTGAAGGAGAAAGATCCATCCAAGTCCCTAAAGATTTAGTCTAGCACTCTGGTATTTGAGAACTTGTTTCAAACTGAGACACCACCTTGTTAGCTCCTTTTCACAGCTGCATGTGATCTAGTTTATAAGAGGTCTGATGTAATGCAGGTTGGCGTCTGTGGTGTCAAGCTGACTAAACCGCTTCCACAATGAAGTTTTACATAGGAAATTACTAGGGTCCCAGATGCCATGATGACTGTTTTCTCAAAAATCTTCACCAGAAGAATGTATCTTCCATATGAGTACAGCATGTGTTACGGTAGTTAATAACATTGCCATTGTAGTGGCATAGGAAACTGTGTGGAGAAGCTGATATTCAAAGATACAAATTAAACAGTTCACCTTATATTGTTTAAAATGCTCAGTTCCTTAAGAAGCAACAAGCAGAACACCCCTACTATGATACCACTCCCTAATGAAGGGAACCTGGGCTCCTGGGAGAAAGGGCTGAAGCTAGAACTGACTTGTATAAAAAATATACGAGAGGAGTCCAGACCATTTTGTAGTGCCAAAAAGTAAGGAAATGCTCTGTTCCCCATAAATAAGTGAACAAATAAACACCACTCACAAAATGACGGGGATATGTTAAAGGAACACGAGAATGATGTAAAAGAGCTCCCAGTAGCCAAAGCTGGGACAATTTGAGCAAAAATAAATAAATAAAGTAGTTTTGAAACTATAATACAAAGTTAAAAATAAGTATCCATGCCTCCATACTGCTATAAATAAATAACTGCATAAATGGGGAAGACAGATTTCTCAGTGAAAATAATTCCAAATAATTTATGAAAATACTTCATCCTCAAAGAGGTAGAACATAATTCACCACTGCTTAAGTGTGGGCTGATAGGACTTTCCTCCAAAGAAAAGAGAATGAGGGCCTCCCTGGTGGCGCAGTGGTTGAGCGCTGGGTTGCGAAGCTGCCCGCAGCCTCTGCAGCGCCGGTACGATCCCCGGCTGCTCCCCGGCCACTAGAGGAGGGTCCCACATGGCGCGCAGACCTCTCCTGCCGCCCGCTGCTCCCCTCAGCAGTGTACTTTGGTCCTTCTGCCTGCTCTGCTCCCTGCTCTGGCTCTGGTGAATTCTCTCACCCTCCCGCGCTTCTGATTGTACCCAGTGCATGTACAAACAAAACAAACAAATAAATAAATAAATAAAACATGCCTCTATTAAAAAAAAAAAAGAAAAGAGAATGAGAATAAGAAGATTTTCTAACATGGAGTGTTGCCAGTTTTTTTTTTGTTGTTGTTTGTTTGTTTTTTTAAGGCTGTAATTTATATGGATAAAATGCTATCAATGAGGAAGTAAAAGATTCACTGGGGCCTTTGATCTATGATACACTCACTGTTCTTTAATTTTTGTGGAGGTTAAAATGATCTTGTGACTGTATTACCTCTAAAATATTTAGTTATAAGAATAATATAGGCAACTTAATGTTTCCTTTTATTCTAGGAATTGAAATACACAGACAATAGGAGAAGACAGAATATGTGTACTGTACTATCAAAGACATACTGTTTGCCATTCATTTGGCTTCTTTTTGCTCAAGACTTTTAATGGAATGGGGTGGCAACTTCAATAGACACTGAGAAAGTGTAGCAGAGGAGTGAAAGTGATTGCTCTTTCCTTTGAAAAAGCATTTTAGGTTTTAAATCTTGACTTAAATCTTGTCAGCTGGTGTGCTTTGTTATAAAGAATTTGTTCTGCTGTATATATGGTGAAGACAATTTTGATGTCATTTTATATGTGGGGGCCTTAAGATACTCAACACCTAAGTCCCAAAATGTCTAATGTTTAATTTATAGAGATTGCATTATTTTCTCATTGAAATGTAATTCTGCTTGCACTAAATTGACTGCTTTTTTTTTTTCACTACTAGACTATCACAGAGAAGCACAAAATGAATGTTCCAGAAACAATGAATGAAGTTCTTGATATGTCTGATGATGAAGGTATGAAAATGTTCTGAGTTCATAGTAATAGAGTGACTTTTTTTTCCTGAAGAAAGTTCATTGCAAAATTGTTTTAGAAGCATTAAAATGTTTTGTTTGGTATCAAGTATTGCATTTTTCACCACTTATATTGTCCACTTGAATCATGCAGTTCGTAAAGCCAATGCCCCTGAAATGCTCAGTGATGGCGAATATATCTCAGATGTTGAAGAAGGTATTTGCAAATTCTTATTGTGATGGGACTTAACTACCAGCTTATCTTCCATTTCTTATCTTTGGAATGTAACACTTCCTTGAGTTACTAACTTTTCATCTTATCTTGAGATTATTAATCTCTGTATCATTTAAACAATGTGTATTTGGTGTTACTGGTTGTCTCCTTTTAGTCTCTTTAAATCCCCTCTCTTCCCACCCATTTTCCAACTTGAAAATATGTCACTAATTATCTGGATTATTTTCTTTCTATGTATATCTGTAAAGCAGAAAATTGATGTTTTTCTTGTTTTACATAATCTGAATATCTGACAAAGGAAAACTGATTATTAATATAGCCAAAATATCTTTTTTAAAAAAAGAAAAAGTATCCTTAAAAGTAACTGATTAAATGCCCATTATAAGATTTATTCTTTGTAGTAAAAGCAGCTTTTGATCTTGATATAAAAATGAAAGCTCAACCTGAACGAAACTGCTTTCAAAATACAAGTTTTCAATATTAATTTCATGAAAGATCAAAGTTAAGTAATTGTAGCTCTCCTTCATGAGCTTAAAAAATCTATTTGTGTTCTGTCTTTTTAAAATTCAATACATTTGAACACATCATGATATATAGATAAATGAAGGAATGACATGTGAGAGTTCACTGGAAAACTAACATTTTTACAGTGAATAAATATTATAAAGATGGCAAATTGGGGAATTTTATGAAATAATGAAATGTTTACTATGATAGAATTTATATTTATACTTTCTTGCATGACCAGACTCTCCAAAACTACACTGTCCCTTATTCTCCTACCATTTGCCATCTCATATGTAGCATTTTGCTCCTGGATCAGGCTTCATATTGCTAGCTTTTCTCTGCCTTTAGGTAATCTTTCCTATTTTAATTATTGCTTCCTTCTTTAATTTGCACAAATTTCACTACAATGTAAATAAGGGGAAACCTACCTGATCCAAAGTGCCTTAAATTTTTCAGTGTCCAAAGACTGCCTACTGTAAGTGTGTTTTATCTGGGGACTTCACATCTAGAAAAGCTAAGACCTGGGTGATCAATTAGGGACCTGGGAGGACCTGTTTACTGTTTGGAAATGTTGTTTTGATAAATGTTGAAAGCTTCTAGTTATCATTTTTCTTTTTCTCTAAAACATCAACTATATGTTAACCTCTGTTTATCCCCAAATGGATAATATTTGTATCATCTTTAGCATTTTAAGAGCTCTATACCTTACTGTCATATTATATTTCAATGCCATCTGATACATTTTTAGAGCAATTTCCTATGTGCAGAAGATTAAAAAAGTGTTCTCAAATGCAAGTGTATATATGTATAACATGATTCAAAATTGTTTTTAAAATGAAATTATGAAATATAATATGATAATCATAGACATGAAATTTGCTAGATCTTAACAAAATTTCCAAAAATATCTGCATTGATGAGAGGCCAAGTTTGAATGGACTATATGATAGCCTTATATAAGTGAGTAACCCAATAATTTCAAAAAAGGAGAAATTTTGAATTTCTACATTGAAGAAAATTGATCTATTTAACTAGAAATGACAATATATCCTTTAAATTTATCTCACCTTGGGAATTTGAAAAGCATATTTTAATTCTGTTTCCCTCTTTCTTTAAATTCATTAGCCTTTACTTTCTCTGTGTGTCCAGGGTCTGTTGGAGTCAAGTGACCTTTGATCTCATAATGTTGTAGAATTTAATGTTGGAAGGGGTTGCTTAAGTCACTCAACCTGAAAAATTACCATTTGGTGCTGTTTAGGGGGTTCTTTGCCCCAATGCCTCAGTGATGGAAGTTACCTAACACCCAAACTGCCGATTCCATTATCAACAATGTCTACGTGGAAAATTCTTCATTTTACTGAACATTCTATCACTTCCACTCATTGGCTCCAGCTGAAATACTTGACACTATTTAGAAAAAAATCTGCCTCCACATCTTTCCAAAGAATTGGTTTGGAAGGATGTGATGATCAGTTCAATGTGTCAAAAACACTTCTCAGATTGCTCCATGATCAGATTCTTCTCCAGGCATCTTATTATTGCCAGTTCCTTCCTCACCATCACAGTCAGTCTCCATGTGCATTTCAGTGTGTATCCCTCTGAAGTGAACTGGCTGGAACTGAGCACAGTACTCTAGGTGGAGTCTGATCAGAGTACAGTGTAGCAGGGCTATTGCTCTGTTCATGGGAAATAGTAAGATCCATATGGAAGAAGATTTTTTTTCAAGGGTATAGCATGTATTTAATTTGACTTGTTAATATTGCTGTCAGTCAGTGTCCCAGTATTTTGTTTCCATGTGTTCCAGTAAGCCACATTGACATATTACTTCCTTGTCTGCTGCATAAACAACCATTTCTAATATTACTCCAAACCCCAAAACAAATCATTTTGAAATTTTTATTTTAAAGGAACCTCTACAATTTTAATGATAGTATTTCTGACTCCTTTGCCTGATAATCTTGCCAGGGCTCTGCCAATTTAGGTGGATTTTATGCTGCCTATTTCAGGATTAGAGCAGATGTTTATTTGCTTGACCCCACAGCATGTTGTGACTATCTCTCTCTCAGAGCTAACAGAAGGTCATCGCAGTGAATCTTAAGGTGCTCAGATATCAGCAGTTTTTACAAGCAAATAAAAATAATAAGTAATATACCCTTCCCATTTTTCTAAAGAAAAAAAAGAATGAGTCTGTAATATGGGAAAATATAATTTTAATACTGAATTAGGAAATTGAGTAAATATTAAGGAAATCGTGCTAAGAATAGCATCTCTTTCCGTTGGTTTTTTCCTCTTTGTCATTGGTTTGGTAAGAAATTGGCATAGGTGAAAGAATGTCTGGATTAATTTCTCAAAAAAATAATTAAGGAAAACAAGTCTAGACAGTGTTATCTATTAAAGACGTAGGGTAACAATGGACGTAAGTTAGAGTAGAGCAAAGGTTGAAGTATTAGCAAAGCAAAGCCCTAGAAGAAAGGGGGATAATGCAGCCTTATCTAAGTCAGGATTTTAAGTTCACACACACTAAAGGGGGTAGACAGAGCTAGTGACTGGCAAGACCCATACACTTAGCTTAGTCTTGTACTGTCCTCTTTCCCCAAAAACATGTTACATGTATTTAAAATTAGCATATATGCAAAATTAACATTGATTCTAATGTTGGTTAGATTCTTAAATTTTGTGGTTCAGTTTGTAATTAGAAAAAGAAAACAGAGAGAGAAGAGGGAGGGTAGAAAGATGGGGAAGAGGAAAAGGAAGAGAAAGAGTAAGAAAGGAGAGAAGGAAGGGAGATAAAGGAAAAAGGGAATGGACCCAAATAAAGGAAAGACAGAAGGAAATTGAGATTCAGGTTCAAGTTGTTTTTAGTTATTTCCCCCTTCCAGGGGATTTCATAGTTGCCTTTCATTCAACACTAATTTTAAATCATAAATTCCTATGCAATGTATTTTGTAAATTTTTAAAAATGTGTAAAATGTTATTTTACTTGCAGAATTTTAGTGGGTTGGCGTATCACAGATTTAAAGAACCATGGCTAGGACATAATGAGGTCTAAAATGAAATCAGAAAAGCCAAAACCATAAAGCTGCTCTGGGTGAGAGAAGCTCTTGCTGTGAAGAATTGTCTAATTCTTAGCTACTTACCAATTTGATAAGGCTGTAAAATCCCTTTCAGGAACAGATGCAGACACTGGATATTAAAAGAAAATGTGAGATGCTAGGTTCATATATGGTACAAATAGTTCTAGAATGTTATAGGTTTGAGATATGACAAAACATTAAGATTTTATTAGATGTTCCATTAGAGAGATCTGAGGGGTGAGGAGAGTCATACTTACCTAGGTACAAGATTGAGTGGCCAATGGAAGCCACAGCAAATTAAAATCCAGATTTCAAAGAACTGAAAGGCTGGATCAGGGGCTTGCAGCTGTGCTCTCCATTATGCTGCTGAGGAAGTGAAGCCCAAATATTGAATGACTTGCCCAGCCAGGTTAGTGGCAGGATGAGACAAGAGCATAGACCTGAGAGTCTGCAAGCAAAGATCTGCTCTTTCATAGCTACTCCAACCTGTTTTTTTTTTTTTTTTTTTTTTTTTTACGCACTAAGTCCTCATTAACAAGTTTTTGGAACTGTAACTTTAAGCAAAATGCTATATAATGAAGCCAATTGATAGAAATAAGAGTTAATCTGTGGCATACTTCTGGTTACAAAAACATCAGCAAACTTCTGAATATAGATCCAAAATACTGCTAATATTAAACATTCATTTATATCTATTCACTTTCCAACCTGCTTATTCCGGTTCAAGATTGCAAGTAGCCCATGTCCCTATCCCAGCAGTTCAGGCACAAGGGAGGAAGCAAGCCTAGACAGAATGTCCTTCTATTGCAAGGCACGTGTGCGCGCGCACGCGCACACACACACACACACACACACAGACTGGGACAATTTACACATACCAATGAGTCTGACATGCACATCTTTGTGATGTGGGTGGATATCAGAGTACCCAAAGAAAATCCAGACAGAATGGAGAGAATGTACAAACTCCACACAGACATTAGCCTCAGCCAGGTATTGGTATTTTTTTCTCATCAATGTTATAATGAAAGGATGTTGAATGAAATGACATTATTCAAAGGGCTGCTATATACAGAACCCAAGAAACCTTCTAAATAATTTGTGTTTAGGGGAAAGAGCAAATCATGCTATTGGAAACTACCACGAGTAATAACAGTTATTTTTTTTAAAGACTTTGAGGAAGCTTTAGTAGAAATATTATAGCTTTTTCTGTCCATTTTGACAAAGGAGATATGCAGACCAAGATGCAAAACCAAATAAATATTGGCATAATTTTGAATTGATTTTTAAGAACATAAAACAAGTATTTTTAATATGCATCCGAGTATTCTCAATTAGGAAAGAATAAGTAGAATTTGGCACAATTTGAAACTCAAAAAAGTAGAAGAAATTTCTTTGGAC